AGTTGGGACCAGGAGAGGTGGGTTCAAAGAGGGTCTTGGCTCTCAAGACAGCTTGGTGGATGGACATAAATGTCAGTGAAAATTCAGTGTGGTCATTGCTGGTGAGGCTCATGCTGGGCAGCAGCCAGGAGTTGGTGTCTTGTCTCTTCCTGAGGCAGCCCTGGGTTTTGAAGGATGACTCAGAGTCCCTGGAACCCTGCAGGTAGAGAGCGGAGCGTGAGGAGGCACAAGGGTTGAGGGAAGGGTTCCTGAAATGCCTTGGGTGGATGGGGGTAAAAAAAAAAACCCTTGAAATCCTCATTATCCATTATCTGCACAGCTCTCTGGTTATTAGGCCCTCCTGCCCAGGTGTGTCATTTGATGCAAAAGGAGGGCCCTGCTCAGCCCCCAGACTACCAGGAACACCACTGAGGGCACTGGAGGCACTTTATAGATAGGAGGACCATTGCTGTGCTACCTGTCAGTCCTCCTGCCAGTGAGAAAGAGGGGACAAGGACAGACATAAGATGCACCCCCGTGATCAGATAGCTCTGACTCGTCCTTCAGCAGGTACTTACTGAGCCGCTCTGTCTGCCTTGGGGTATGGTAATGAGCAAAACAGAGATGTGTTATGGAGACACTTCCATTCCACTGGGGGTGAAACCTTCTTGGCTCCCTGAGCAGGAATGGAACCCTGTGCAGCCTGTGTCCTCAGAGACCCGCCTGGAACCTGATAGGAAACATTGCTCAATCACTGTTGAAATAACCTTCTGCTTCAGCAATTCGGAAGTGCCAGGTGGTAAGAAAGAACCTGGAAAAAGCCAAACAATTTCTTTGCTCTGAGAGACCTATTGTATTGACTTGTTCTGTAATTGATTTTTAGTTACAAAATTCTCAGCCAGGGGAGGAATTGAATTTACTCTGGCAGAGCTACCTTTTCCGTATCATCCAGGGATTCTGTATCTGTTAAGAAAAGTCTTTTATTCACAGCACAACTTTGAGTTTGCATGAAAATGGCAGGTATTGTTGAATTTAAGTGTATTGATGGCCTGGGTCAAACATTGAAGTCAGCAGATAATTTAGAGGGAACTGCTAAAGGGAATGGTTGTCTTTTCTCATCCTAGTCTCAAGAAACAAAGGAGAAAACAAAAGAAAAATGTGTTCATCTTGGCTTTGAACAAGCTGAAGAGTCCTCAAGGCCCCAGTTTCTCTTGGCCTTGGTTTTCCATTGCAGTTTTGATATTGGAGCTCTGGCTTCCTCCTGAATACCTTTCTCCCACAATTTGATAGTGCAGAGGACAGGAGATAATATTAAAGAGCTGAGACTGTTCAGAGTCATAAAATACAACAGGGCAAAACTTGGTGCAGCTACGAGCTTGCAGTAAGAATGTGAACTTTGGAATCCAACCTTGGAAAATGCTGCTGCAGGGCCTGGCACAGGACTGAAGCCTGTTGCAAGCATGGAGGGTCAAGAGGGAGGGCCATATGCTGCAGAGTCAGTATCCTTCCAGGGTGTCCTGATGGCCTATGAGGGCCAGCACTGACCCTCAGGAAGTCCTGCTTTTGGCGTGATCTGCGGGCCAGCAAGAAAACCCTGGTCGGAGGAGATTCAGAAGGAAGATGAAGCCAGAAAAAGGAGGGGAGAAGAAAAAATGAAATTAGGTCAAGGGTAAAACAAGAGGTATCCCCAAGGAACGTGGTAGATTTTCTATCCCAAGGGAAAACAAGGGTTTGACCAGGAACAAGGCCCAGGGACACTCTACGGGCTGGGGCCAGTGCTGATGTCGGTGATGTCTTTGGAGTGGAAACTGGGCGAGCCCGCCCGGCTGGCTGAACCACAGCAGGCACTCAAGGGACTTGCAGCCCCTCCCTCCTTGGTATTAGCCAAGGTGTCTGGAACTGTCCACCTGGAGGGAAGCACACCCAGCTCAGGAACCTTTCCAGAGCAAAGTGTAGACAATGAGCCCTGAGCTCTGACAGCATGCCCAAGTGCCTGCCTGCTGCTGGAATGCTGGCAAGCACATTCCTTCTGAGAATAGTTCACCACAGTGAATTCTGACCTCATTGCACCAACCCGGTCAAGGGTGTTGAAATGGAATAAATGATCTCATGTCAAGGGTCTGTGGAAACCCTCAAAACCAGGGGAATTCCTTGGCTCCCCATCTTCATTTCAGAATGGAAAGTTTAAGCGGTAGTTCATTCTAGATGTTTAATGGATCTCAGCATTTAAGGACAAATTAATAGGTTAGAGATGTGGAGTCAATCATGTGGACTTGATTTCTCTTAAATTGGGTGATTTTGTAGGATTTAGAATGTAATTATTGCAGGCTCATTTCTTTATTTTTTTAAAATTTTCTATTCCCAATGGCAACAGAAATGATTGAGTAACCTTATTTGATTTTTAAAAAATATTTGAAGGGATCGGGCATGTAGCTCAGTGGCAGGGTGCTTGCCTAGCATGTGTGAGGCCCTGGGTTCAATCCTCAGCACTGATGGGGATGGGAGACTATCAAAATGTTTAAATGGTATGTAAGGATTTGCTGAGAATTTTATGCTTTTATGCCACATATTTGTGGCCTTTTCTAATATATAAGGTGTTCCATCTTCTTCCTGCAGCCCTGCCTCTCCCCAGGTGGTGGTCATCCTCAGGATTGTCCTCCTAGGGTGCCACATCATTTGAATGGGCCACAGCCTCAGGCCTTCTCCACTTTCTGGGGCTTGTTTTTTATAGCAGGACATCCCAGCTTGGGGAAGAATTTGATTCTGAATCCTAAATTCTCTCTAGGAATAAGCTGGAAAGAGTTTGAGAAAAGATTGCATTTGCTTCAAGGCTTCCTTAGGAATCCGCACCCAGTTGTTGGCTTTGCATCGTCCTAGGCAGCACCTGCAGGTGTGGAGCCTTCCTTGGTTCGTCCACCAGAGGGCCTCCGTCCTGCATGGGAAAAACCATCCTGAGCTTTAAAGGGGGTTGAATTTCTCTGTTCATCATTTATCTCCCTTAGGCTGCCCAGGGGATTATTGTCAGGCACCCGTTTCAATGGATTGTCTTTAGAATTTTGAGCCAGTACCTAGGAGTATCTAGTGAGCTGTTGTCACTGGTATTCATAGAATTCATTTTATATAAATTTGCACGCTAGTGGATCAGAATAAAGACCTGGGCGCGCTGGTTCACGCTTGCTCTGTCCTGAAGAGTCACATTTCTGGCATTGAGCTTAAGTTTCTTTTACCAGGAAGGTAACAGAGTATGGTGGAAGCTCCCAGCATGCGCTCTCAACAGCTGCTGAACCTGAGCATCCCCTTTCTCTTCTGTGCAAGTTAGACTGCGTTGGGTCGTTTAGAGCCAGAAGATTCTGTGCTCCTGTAGCTGTACAAATGGCTTGTTCTGCAGGGAGGGCATGGGAGACATTCCGAATGGCCAAGTTCATGAGCAGCCTTCCCTGTGTTCTAATGTCCAACTTATCTCCTGTTCATTCAAGGCCTAATTTCCACCCTGCTAATGCAGTGCTTTTCCAGGGTCTTTAGTGATGCTGCCCCAGGCACATTCTACCTTTCAAAGTGCTGCTCCTTCTATACAGTGTGATCCGTGATTCTGGAATGAAGTTAGATTTCCAGAGCCTCACCCGTCCTCCTTAGCTATGGCTCTTTCCTCCCCCACTGTGTTACTTAAGAGAACCAAGCTCAAGTCCAAAGCAAATGTACGTTGTTGACTGTGAACACAGATCCCATAAAAACAAATGAAGGGGAAAGCAGAGTAGATTGTGCGTCCCAGGGCCTGTTGCCTAATTTTTATTCATGTCCCTGTTAGATTTCCTTATTGCTGCTTAGAGTCCTAAGCACAGCCTTTTCTTTTTATGTTACCATAAAGCTTCTGATCGGATATCATCTGATATGCGTGGGTGAGAGGACTCTGGGAGTGTTTACGTACCTATGCCAGTAAGCCATTATCTTCAAGTTCTGGCTGTTCTTGTGAATGAGAGCCCTGGGAAGTCATGTAGGTATAAGATATGAATTAATAACCCTCATGAGTGCTTGTAACTTACAGACCACATTTTGATTTAATACCTCTGCATGATTTAAAATGTCATCTGAGAAGAGAGCCAAATACTTAGGCATCTGCCACAGCCAGCAGAGGCTGGCTGACAGGTCTGCACCGGCTGACCCGTTCTCTGCCTCTTTGGAAAGATGAGATATGTTCTAATGAGCAGGTTATAAATATCACCGAGTTATGTCATAGGAGTGGTGGCACTCAATGTAAAGGAAGCAGCTAGGAAGTGTTCCCAGCTACATAGACCAGGCTCAGCTTGCAGGGAGGACAAGTGGGGCCTGGACTTACCGACCAGGATGTTACTAAAGAATGATTTGTCTCTGAATGAAATGTGTCACCAAATGCATCTGTGGGGGTGTGGGGGGCAGTGAGACGAGACATGTCTAAGGGCAGGAAGGCACAGTCGACACACACTTGTTCTCAGAAGCAGCCTTCGACCCTTGGCATCTTTTTGTTGGTGGATTGGGCAAGTGGGTTTGATGGGTTTTCTAGGCAGTGACTACGTTCTGGAAAGTCAGCATGGTTGCTTGGGGGAGCCCCTCAGTTTTCATCTCTTTGCCCACATTGCATACAGCAGCTTGCTGGTGCTCCTACCCCCGGGCCCAGCGTTGCCACCTGCCCTTCCAATGGAAGTACAGAGTTCAGTACCACTCTGTCAAAGCCACTGGAAATGTGAAGATAGACCCTTATAAGATATCTTGCTGTGTTTTATTTGTTTGCTTTTTTTGGCCTCAGAACTGATTTTCAGATTTTTCTTGAGGAAATTTGATTGGGGTTAGGAAGCATAAAAGACCATCAATCTCAGGTCAGACTTTTCAGAGTTGGCCAAAGATGAATAGACACGTGCAGAATAATTGTTTCCTTAAAATCTAGCCAACAGCTTTCATGTAGACAAAATGCATCAAAATATGTGTATAAAATATTTAATACTAAGCCATGCCAGATGGAAATCCTGTCAAATTCTGTGTGCATGCAGGAACTTGACAAGAGGAGTCGGGAGATTTAGAGAGCTTCTCAGAGCGGTGGAAACGAGAACAACACAAAACCTGCGAATGGTAAGTGTGACTAATGACTTGGCTGGGGACAGTCACTAGGGCCCTCGTCTCACAGATATGTTCACTTTTACACATTGTTACATATCATATATATGTATATACATATATATAGCAATTCACTTATTTAAAGTGTACAATTTGATGGTTTTTAGTATATTCACAGAATTGTTCGACTGTCACTAATATTTAATTTCAAATTGCTCCCAAAGGAAACTTATGCTTGGCTGGATGTGGTGGTACACACAGTAGCTGTAGCTATTCCGGGGTCAGATGAGAAGGCTCACAAGTTCTAGGCCAGCCTGGGCAACTTAGCAAGACCCTATCTCAAAATCAAATGTGGAAGGGGCTGGGGATGTAGCTCAGTGGCAGAGCAACCCTGAGTCTAATTCTCAGTACCAAAGAGAAAAAAAAAAAAAAAGAAAAAGAAAAGAAGGAGGCGTATACTCATTAGAACTCAGTTCCTACTCTCCCCTTCCATGAGACTTGACAATTGTTTATTTACTTTCCATTTCTATGAATTGGCCTACTTTGGACATATCATACAGTTGGAATTATATAATATTTGGTCTTTTGTGATTGGCTCCCTTTATTTAGCATAATATGTTCAGAGTTCTTCCATGCTGCAGCTTTTATTAGTATTTCTTGTTATGGCTACGTAATATTCTGTGGTATGGACTGACCACGTTTTATGTGCCCAGGCATCAGTTGGTAGACATTGTGAATAATGCTACTGTGAATGTTTATGTCCATGTTTTCGAGGGGACATGTGTGCCCTTTTTCCTTGGGCATATGCCCAGAAGCATTACTGGTCACGTGGTAACTGGGAGTTCGACTGTTAAGGGTCTCCCAGACTGTTTCCCACTATTTTATATTCCCGCCAGCAGTTATGAGGGTTCCAGTTTCTGCACGTCCTCCCCTTTCCTTGTTACTGTCTTTTCAGTTGTGGCCATCTTAGTGAGTGTGTGGTGCTCTCTCCCTGGGGTTTTGACTTATGTATCCCTGATGGCCACTGATGTGGAGCATCTTTCTTGTGCCTGCTGGCAGTCCTCTCCAGCTGTAAGAGCTGCATCCTGTGAAGCATGGGATGCAGGCCTCCTGGAGGCTATTGTGGGGTGGGGTTGGCTGTACGCTTATGATTCCACCAAACCCCGGGGACAGAACCATGCAATTTGGATCCCAAGGGTTGCTTAGCTAATTATGTTGACCACAAAACATATAAAAGGTGTTTAAATATCTGCAGCTTGGCTTGATCAGCAGCTTGACTTTCCTGTTGACTTGAATTCTATGTTTCCTCCTGAGGAGGTTCATTAATTATGCCCCTGTGGCTTGTCCCGTGGAGCTATAGTTCTTGAGTGTCTGAGCAAAGTCCTGGTGCTCACTAGAAGCTAAGTGAATGCCACATGTTACAATTAATGTAGCAGTTTCTTTTTGTCTTTTGCAATTTCTTTTGTCTTTTGTCATGGTGTTATTGTCCTATGAGTTCATTAAATGTTGTGGGGAGCGTTCAGTTGGACAAGGCTAAGAGAGTCATGTCACAGGAAATGAAGCTTTATTCAGGCCCTCGGGGTTTTAGGATGTGGACATACTGGTGGGGTCAGGTGGCTAAGCTGGAGGCTTTAATCAGGGGGTTGAGATAAGATGAGCAACCTTGCATGCATGCGCGCGCGCACACACACACACACACACACATATACATCACACCCCGCTCCCCCAAGAACTCACTTGGTCTTTGGGATTTATATACCAGTGTACTTGATATATGCCTTGAATTCAGATGAAGAAGTTTGAGATCTGGGTTTCTTTAAAACAAAAGAAGCAGCAAGAACATGAATAAAAATTTTTTCCAGATTATATTTTTTCTCAAATCGATCTTCTCCCAGCATTCCACAAAACTCTTCAGCCCATCAGTATGAAAGTCTTCTTCCAAAATCTCAAAGCACAATGAAAGTAACTGATTAAAATGGCAAGTGTTTTCATAATTACTTTAAAAGTACGTTGAAAAATCCAGTCTTTCAAAATTGCTTAAATATGGAGCATTTGTTCATATTGTTGACTTTCAAATATATATAATTTATGGAATGAGCTGTTTTTCTCCATTTAAAAGTGCAAGTATCCTGAATTCTCTGTGGGAACCTGTCTGCTGTTCAGTGAATTAGAGAATATATTCCACTACTAAGATTTATGATTTTCAAATCAAAGTATTTTCACTTTTAAAAATCCTGTGAAGGGTGGGGATGTGGCTCAGGAATAGAGCACTTGCCTGACATGTGTGAGACCTGGTTTGACCCCAAGCACCACAGAAACTGAACAAAAATTCTGTAAGCTCGGGTTCTGAGTAGACATGGTCGGAGCGTGGTGGTGAGGGGTCCTTTCCATTTTTGTTTTTCTGAGAAGGCAAGGAAGAGACCCTGAAGAGCTTGTGGTGGCCTAGGCTGCCTCTGGACATTGCAGCTTCTAGCTATCTGTGCTGGCATGAGGGGAGGTGCTTCTCCTTCGTGTCACACTGAAGTGCCTATGCGCATTTGGTCTCAGGTGAAGATCTTCACACGACCTAAGTTTAAAACTCTTTTCAGTTCCGTGAGTGCTTGACCAAAGTCGTGCATCAGGATTATTGGGGGAACTTTGGGTTTTCTTGCTTGTTTGTTTTGCAGTGCAGGGTATGGAACCCAGGACCTCACACATGGTAGGCAAGGCGCTTTACCACCGAGCCACAACCCCAGCCCTACTGAGGAACTTCGAACAAGTACATGTCCCCAAACCATGACCACAGAAATTCCAGAGGACTGAGTCTAGGACAGAGCCTGAGAATCTGTGTTATCTGAAGTTTCCACAAGCAGGCCTCACTCACCCTAATAGAGAAGCACCCCAAGCCTTGTTTACACTGAACATGAGAAAACTTCTCCAGCTAGTGCTATTCATAAGACAGGGTCTATCAGCCTTAACAAATAACTCTTATTCTTTTTAGATTATCTGGCTGTAAATTTATGATATTCTTATGAGATGGAAAAGTTGTTTTGTAAACTCAATTTGGTGTGAGACCATGACAAAGAGGGATTTAAGATTACATTCACAGCCACTCTACGCCTAGGTATATATGCCCAAGAATTGAAAACAGGCACAAACTGGACAAGAACGTTCAGATTGACACTATTCTAACAGCCAAAAGGTGGAAACCTGTCTATCAGCTAGAGAATGGATATGCCAGATGTGCTGCAGGCAGACAATGGAGTGCCACTCAGCCACGAGAGGGCTGAAGTGCTGGTCCACACACAGTCGAGATGAGTCTTAAAAACATTACACTGCATGAAGGAAGCTGGTCACAGAAAGATCCATGCTGTGCAGTTCCACTGCCGTGACACAGTCTAAGTAGGCCAGTCCTTGGAAACAGAGAGCATATCAGTTGTCCCCATGGCCTAGGAGGAAGAGAGGGTGAGGAATGATTGCTTAAAGGGTGTAAGGTTTCCTCTGGGGGTGATGAAAATGTTCTGGAACTAGATAGCGGTGGTGGTTGCACAATATTGTGAATGTACTAAGTACTGCTGGGTTGGACACTTCAAGATGGCCTCAGCGTGGACCAGCACCCCCCTCCCAAAGTTATATGTTTAGAATCCCAATTTATCGAATGAAGTTTTCATTTTTAAATTTTTAAATTTTTAACATTTATTTCTTAGTGATAATGAATGGAGGTATTTCTGTCGGTAGAATTTTCCAGCAAAAGTCATTAGATTATATGACTGCAATGAGATCAAAATGAAACTATAATGGAAGGTTTAAAAAAACAGCTCAGGAGCTGTTTAGTTCCTGAAAATTGTGTTCTTATGAGGTCTTTACAGATGGCTCAGTTGGGGATGATCAGAGTGCATTTAATTTCACATTTTTATAGCCATTTAAAGGCAGTGGGTTTTACTTGGGAATAATCAAGAAAATTTGCCTTTACCCAGTGGTTATCAGAAACCACTAAGCTAGTGATTTGGCTGTACTTAAGTTTCCTTGGGGAATTTTTAGAGATTTCACATGGATGAGAGCCTAGCAAAGTTCTCCTCCAGAACATATTTCTTTAAAAAGGCGCATTTTCAGGGAAGATCAGCTTCTTTGTCTATATCTTTCAAAGAATATTAAAACCAAGCAGAGAACCCTGCTGGCTAAAGTTTTGCTGTACCATCTCTGGCTGCTTATGGGTGGTCTGGACTATCCTGGGATGCAGTGCTTCTGTTTTCAAAAGGATTTTTTAAAAACATCTTTGTCATTTGGAAGATTATGAGCTAATTGAACTGATCTACATCAGTCAACAAAGTACTTCTAGGTACACGCCACCTGTCACCTTCCCATCAACCACCGTGGTGCTGTTCTAGGCAGTGGGGTTCCAGAGGGTCTGGAAGCTGTCAACCTGCACCAGTGTAGGAAGGCAACATCCGCATGCTCCTGGGTTTTAACAGTAGAGAGAGAGGCCGTCCAGCTTTGAAGAAGGTCTTTCTTGATAGAAGCCACACAGCCCTCACTTTTCTTCTCTATAGCACAGGCTAGTGGAGCTCTGGGCCATGAGGCCCAGGATGCACTGAGAAGAGGACTCTCAGGTGCTGGGTCCTGGGGTGGGGCTGCACAAGACTGGCCCTCACCCTTGTGAGAAGCAAGGCACTTTGGAATCACACAGCGCACGTCCTGTGGTCAACAAGAGATGTTTTTCAGGGACAGCATCATCTAAAATGAGTCTGACTTTTTGCCAGCTGGAGCTTTGGGGGCATCTGCTGGAAGGGGGTGAAAATCCCTGCAGTTCACCTGTTATTTACAGGAGCTCTTGGGAAAGGGCGTCGCTGAAAGCTGGGTTGTTTCAGATGTAGAATGTGCTTAGTGTTCCAGGGTGTGACAGACCAGGGTGGCCCGCAAATGCATGAGCCATCTTCAGAAAGTTTTCAAATATCATAATGTGTCATGTTTTCTTTTCTTTTTGCCATAAACTGATATCGTTTTCATCATGGAAGTAAAAAATCTTTAGTTATGAGTTTCTTGGAATAGTGCCTAGCACAAAGTGGTGCCTGATGAATATTCAGTGAGAGAACAGACTCATGGCTGCCTCTTCCCTCCTTGTGTTCCCAGACCATAGCCAGGCAGCTGGCGGAGATCTTGTTGCGGGGTATGTGTGAGCAGAGCTACTGGAACCCCCTGGAGGACCCTCCGTGCCAGTCACCCCTGGATGATCCTCTCCGAAAAGGAGCAAACACCAAGACCTACACCCTCACTCGCCGGGCTCGTGTCTACTCAGGAGAGAAGTACGCAAGCCTATGTCCTCCGCTGGGGGCTGGGGCAAAGGAGATGGGCAGTCCAAGGGCGAGTGGAAGTCCAGGGGCAAGCTGTTCTCCCCTAAAAGAAAAGCCAATGAGCAAGGCCACTCAGCAGTTTAATAGCAGCCCTTGTCACTGCTCACAGCTTGAGCGGACCCCTTACCACCAGGACAGGTCAGGAGGAAGCCTGCTCTTTTTTTCACACCTGGCTGCAGCCATGGCTCTGGGTCTTTGGACTGCGACTTTCTGTCCTCGGAGCCCAGCACTGCACAGCTGTCTGTAGGCCAGAACTGACATTTCCCTTCTTTTCTTCAGCAGTCCTTGGACCTTTTGTTTAAATGTTGTCCTAAGCTGAATCAGATGTAAGGATAGCTGAGTGATTTGCTAGTGACCAGAAGGTGATATCTCTTTAGAACCTCTTTGTGTGTATGTGTGTGTGTGTGTGTGTGTGTGTGTGTGTGTGTGTGTG